TGAAATACAAAGAACATTAACAAGAAAATTGAAGAAATTTGTGAAAGAAGGTCATATCCAGGCGAGTCAAAGTAAAGAAATACTTTCAAAGGAAAACGTAAGAATTCCTAAATTAACTGTCAGAATTAAAACACATAAACAAAATAAATGTAGACCAATCATAGACTTTAGATTCACATTATTATATAATTTAGAAATCTTTATTAAAAAGATATTACAGGATATACAAATTTCGAAATATGCAGTTAAAAATGCTGATGATTTAATTACAAAATTGCAAAAAGGTGTAATCTTGTCTAATTATAAATTGATGAGTTTGGATATAACATCTATGTACCCTTCTATTACTAAAGATATGATTTTGAGCAGTTTACGTAAGTATGGTGTTCCTGATTATTTAAAGGATTTAATTACTTTCACATTAGATAATAATTATTTTACAGTGAAGGAAAAGAACTTTTATCGACAAACAGAAGGTATTTCGATGGGCTCCGTAATAGGACCGAAATTAGCAGAAATTTATATGCTGGATGTGGACATGATTCTTTCAACATTAAATGGAGTTATGTTTTTTGCAAGGTACGTCGATGATATTTTAATAGTGTACGATAGTACACTAACAACAAACTTACAAATTTTGGAACAAGCTAATAAAATTAATTTGAATATTAAATTTACTCAAGAGCATGAATTAAATAATCAATTAAGTTATTTAGATATAACAATTAAAAGATTTGAAGATCATTTGGAATACTGTAAATTTGAAAAACCGTGTAATACGAGAAAAGTAATTAATTATAGATCATACTGTCCTTTAAATCAAAAATATAATGTATACCTGATGGAAATAACAAAGATTTTTTCTAGAACAACAAATATAGATAAAAGAAAAGAAGAAATTGAAGATACACATAAGAAATACATCTTAAATGGATATCCAAAAAGATTACTAAATGATTGGTTCCACAGATTTTTAAGAAACAGGTTTAAAGTTAAACGTTGTCAAGAAATAATAAAGTATGTATCATTTCCGTATATAAAAGGTATTTATGAAAAATATAATAACTTCTTTAATCATAAATTAATTAGATTGGCTCCATCCTTAAATAACAGGTTATCAAATATGATGATCATCAGAAATAATGCTAAAGATATATTAGAAGAAGAAGGTGTTGTTTATCGGATAGAATGCACGTGTAACAATCCTAGTTTTTACGTCGGTGAAACAAAACGAAGATTAAGGATCAGACTGTCGGAACATTTGGCTGCCGTAAGGTTGAAAATGAGTAATTCTCCTGTCTTCCAACATTGTAATAGTAATAATTGTCAGATTAATATTAATAAATTAAAAATAATTTTTAAGGAAAAAAATATTGTAAAGCGAAAGGTAAAAGAACACTTCGCTATAATTATGCAAAACAATAATGTTAATTTAAATACCGGAATGTTAACAGCGGCATGCTGGGAGTTTTTTGTTAACTGTATAAGTGGCTCTTCAATGAGTTGACTGTTTGAACGTAGATTTTGTGCTGTAAGCCCCACTGAAGAGGCCATAGGCGAAATGCATTTGGGAAGCTTGTTAGTAATGATGTAAATAAAAATTTTTTTCTCTCTGCAGATTATTTTCTTTTTTATACCTTTTTAAACTCTGTTTTTTAAAGATTTTATAGTCATTATTGGCTTGTTTTTTTGAAAAATTGAAGTTTTACATTATCCAAAAGTCAGAAAGGAAAGAAAAATATAATTTTTTCGTAATTTTACATTTTATGTAAGAAAACAAAAGAATGAATAATGATTACTTATTTTTCTTTTTGATAAAACAAATAATTGCAAATATAACTACAAAATTCTAAACAACAGAAATAAATGTGTGAAATCTCGACACTGCAGACAAGTCTATATTAATTTATAACACTAACAACATTAGAAGCTTTTTATAGTAAAAGTACTTTAACCTACTTTATTAAGGCTTCATCAGTTATCAATATTCAAAACAATGTTTGAAACAAACTTCAAAAAACATTCTAAAAATTTTGGTTTTGGAATACAACTTTTAACATTTGAAGAATGCCCTTTTATGTATTTAAAGCAACACTGCTTTAACAGAGGGATGGTCAAACCTTTTTTTAAATGATAGGCAAATGAAATGTCTAAAATGCATACAGATAATTTTTTTTGTTAGTTTCCTTGATTTATATAATTATTTTTAGAATTATTAAAATGATATATAATAAAAAAAGGTCATAAAATATAAATTATATATTATCAAATTTATACATACTCATACTTATAACCAATTTTATTAATGAGAAAATGAAATATAAATTCAACATATTCTGTTTATATACAATAAAACTTCTCTAAATCAAACATCTGTAATTTGAATATTTCTTTAACTTGAAGAAAATGATGCACTTGGTAGGTATCAGTGAAATAGCATAGGGATTTAATGTTTCTAACTTCCTTTTCAAATTTCCTTTATTCAAATTTTCTCCAAGTCAAAGTTTTTCATAGTCCACTGACAGTGATTTATGTTACTTTCAATTTCCTGAGTCAAATTTTAATATTTGTTCTATCCAAAGTGATCCTAATTATTGGATTTCCATGCAATTTTCAGACAGTTAATTGTAGCTACTGTCCAACACTCATTTGCAGACAACATTCTAATCAAAAGTGAGAGACCTCTTGCATTATCTCAACAGAATGTAGCTGCAAAACTGTTCGATTCCATTAGTTACATTGTAATGCCTTTCTGCAAAATTTTCATAGGCTATTTAGAACAAAAAACTATCTAAGATTCTTTATGTAATGCAAGAGAAGTAAAAATATAAATCTATTCAAAATCGGCATTTTCACTCTATTGTTCTCTAACTCAAATCATATGTAACTTGAAGTTATTTCCTGCCCCTCGGAGCTTCAAGTTACAGAAGTTTTACTGTATATATATATATATATAGAAAACAACTATGGGCCAGAGATGAATTATCTGTTGTGAATGACAGTTAAAATTGAATATTGACATTTTATGTTAAAGTAGATTGATTATTTTAACAAGGATATGCAATGTTCAATTTTCACTGTCATTCATAACAGATTTCACAATTCTATGCACAGAAAGCTAGAACTTCTGTAAATAAGTAATATAAAACCTTCCGACATGTTTTCTAGCAATTTTCTTTAATCAAACTAACGTTTTTGGCTATATTTAATGGTCTTCCTGAGGTTCGACAATATTTGGAACGTTCCGATTAAAGAAAATTGATAGAAAAAGTGTCAAAGGTTTTATATTACTTATTAACAGATTTTAATATATTTATTAGCCTATGCTTTTATAAACTTACTAATAATTATATTTTACAATTACATTAAATTTATCATCAAATTTCAAAATTAAATAACTCATATTTTGAAAATTTAAAAAGAATAGTTTATCAATTTTTTAATCTATCCAATTAAAATTTATTTTTTCCAGAAAAATTAATATTTCTTTTACTTACATAATAGAACTTTGTCTTTCATGATCTGTAAAAAAAATTTACACAATAAATATCTATTAAATTTAATAAAATGTAATATAGATTAAATAAGCAACTTATTAAATAAAGTCTTAGCTTTAATAGCTAATAATCTGAACAAAAAACATTTTATATTTGTCATAAATTTTTGCAAGTTAATTATTATTTCAGTGTTGTAACTAGGCAGGTGCAACTAGTGCACAGGCACAGAACCCAGGATAAAGGGGGAGGGAAGTCATCAGTATTATATTTTCATTTTAAAATTTTGCCATTGTGGGGCTGATTCTGTAACATTTTTCATTAAAGTTTATGAATAATCAACCATTTCTATTAAATTTATTTTTTTTTCTTATTTTTTCTGCAAAAAAGGAAAGGAGCCAAAATTAAAAGCTAGTTACGGCACTGCCCAGAGCAGTACACTGTTACTTTAACTGTATAACATCTGGTCACCACTATTAATTAATATGTTATATATGACTCATCAGTTAATGTTTCTACAAGTCAAATTATGTTAAGATAAGTAAGGTTATGAAATTGTTGTGATGGCATTTATCGCAGAATTAACACTACACTCATGAACCACATGCAGCGACTATTGTTAGTGGCAGGACTTGTACCTTATCTGACAATTCAGAGATTCCAAGTGACAAACCTGTGATAACATCACAATCCTCTTTCAAAAATTATATTATTATGTTATAACAGATAAATCGCATTACATCAATTTCCATGTAGTAAATAAACTTAATATGGTTGGCAACAATCAAGATATAGCATTGTCATGATACCACTAAAATCAAACATTGTTATGTTATCATAAAACTAGATATAACAGATGAAAAATTATGAACAGAGGCCAAATTGTTCTGAAAATAAGGACATTAGAACTATTCAAATATATCTGAAAAGTAAAAAAATTAATCTTTTATTACAAAAAAGTTAATTATACTATTCTTGAATGTGAATTTTGACAGTAATTCTTGGACATTTTGTAAAATGAGGAGGAGGACATTTTTTAAAAGTCAAAACAATTCATTTCTTCACTTAATTGTTTGAATGAAACCAATGAAGTAACGGTCATTTAATTATTCATGAAAGTTATAATTTCTGGATAACCTGAATTCTTAACAAGATATCATTCTTAAAATATTTTTATAATTAATCATATTTAACAATGAGATAATGACATGTACAGTGCAGTACATATACTTCTGTGAACAGACTATAAAGTGCTGCATAAGCTCAAAACACTCACCTGATCTTATAAAGTCCTGTAATATGTTTTGTACTTTATAGTTTTACATGATTTTTTCTAAAATGACACTATACTATACTATTCTACAGTTTCGTTCAGATACATTTATTTATTAAAACTTCTTAATCTTAACTCTGTGTTCATGGATCTAGCCTGTTAAGTTTTTTTGAGAAAAAACATAATTTTTTCTTGAATAAAAGTGCATGGAATTTGGTGCTATTTTATGAATTTCAACAAACAAGCTGTTATGTTCAGGAAATCAAAATTATTCTCTATTTAGGGATGCTTTCAACCATTACAGAAGCATGTTCAGCTTAACATAAATATAAAAAAAAACTATGTTTTTATAGTTTCTTCTCTTTAATTTTATCAGAAAACAAACAAATTACATATATTTCTTATATAAAAAAAACTTGTTTTCTTCAAAATCACTTTAATTCTATAGTATTATAGGTTGATTTTTCTCACAGCAACAGTCCAAGTTAGGTGACAAAAGACATTACTGTAGCAAGTTTTAAAAAAACACTTTTACAACAAATGCATTTTGGGCTAATGTAGCATTTTAGCTCTTCTTCGGTGATATATGAGAATACAGAAACAATTTAAAACTCTGGTACACACTTTCCAAATAAAACTTGTAATATAAATACAGCAGAACATCATTACGACATTATACTTATTACATAGTACTTACAAGATATAGTATGCTTTAAACAAGACAAAGTAAATTTTATTTTATTCTTATTATAGAATCAGCTTTATTATTAACCACTTTTTGCTTCTATACAGGAGCAAATACTTTACATTAAAAATTTGTTTTGAAATTTAATCATGTATTCTAATACTTGCTTATGTAATTTGATATGAATAAAAATAAAATTATCTCTCAACAAAATTACCCCTCCCCCTCTATAAAATGTCTATTTATATAATTTTAAATTCCTAACTACGTAAATAATTTNTATAATTTACAATTGAAACTGATTATAGATCAAAATAGCTTTAAATTAATAATAAATATGATTTTATTACCCAAAGAATTATTTAATATTTAATCAAATTCAAAACATAATTCTAATGCTTTATTTTCAAACTATTCATTATTTAATCATTGATATCACAAAATGTATTTAAACTGTAAAATTTAAAGAATATTCTTCATTGAAATTCAAAGAGATATAAATATATTAATGGCTATAACATGACAGAATAAAAGTTTAAAAAGAATTTCTCGTTTCCTGACACTTTTGATTTGTTTGTTAATACAATTATGTCTAATACTTCCAATAAAATATTAATAGTTTACACTATAGCATTACTGCTACATATAGTATATGATAAAAGAACATTGCGGTGATGTACATTTTGGAAAGACACCAAAAGAACTTATTGTTCTTTGGGTGTCTTTCAAAAATAGTTTATTTAATAACCTTCAAAAATTTTTGTAGCATACTTAGGACCTTCTCATGGCACACCAGTTGAAAATCACTGCCCTACAGTGTCAACTCCTGCCAAGAATTAGATCAGCTATGGTGGGATATCTGTGCCTATTCATAAAACAGACATATTCTTAGTTTGTAAAGAATTCCGAGAAGGGTTATGGGGAAGAGCTAAATGTCTCCCAAGCATGTTTAATGGGATTCAAGTTGATCTCGCTGGCCATTCCAATGATGCATGTTCCCAAGTCTAAGTACTGACAAAAATGCAAGTTCTGTGAACTTGTATGTTATTGTCCAGAAAAATGACACAAAGGCCTCATGGCCCCAACAAATAGCAAACATTGCACAATGATTCTACACCACATTTCAGTCACACTACCATGAGAAAAGATGTGGAGATCAGCGCAGCAACCAACAGCAATCTCTGCCCAAACCATTAAATCACCCCTCTGTATGTGTGCATTTTACAATGTTACTGGTGTGATAGAGAGTTGCAGGCATTATCCAGACCAATAACCATTGGGAATCAGTCTGCAGACCAAACCTTGACTCATCTATGAAGAGTATACCACTCAACTGTTCTGGAGACCAGTTGAGGTGATCTCAAACCCAGTTTAACAGGGCCCATCTGTGTGAAGGTGTCAGTGGGACACAAACTGCCAGTTGCCTTGCATACAATTGGCCTGCACATAGCCATCTGTAAACAGTTTGCCAAGATACAGCTCTTCCTGTCGACAATGAAAGGTCCAAAGCAAGCTGATATGCAGTAAGTGATGCGTAGTGTAATGCTACAGACAGAAAACGGTCATCCTGAGTGGTTCTGACTCTTGGACGTCCACTTACTGATTTTTGTGACACTGTTTCTTCACTTTGATATTAATTTGATATAGTTCCAAGGGGAGCAAATGATGGGATGATTGACATTTAGGTTTTGGACTACTTCAAACCATTGCTGGTCACCTTCGAAATGCCTTATTGCAACAATATAAACAATGATAAAGAATATTTATATTTTACTTGTGTCTTCTGTAAATATTGTAATATTAATGTAATAAAAGTTATACAGTGGAACCTCGCTTAACAAATTGTAAAAAACTGACTTGCTTAACGAGTGATGAAGAGAGGGAAAGTCCCGGATTGTGCACATGCTTCACCAGTCTGTTTAGCACTTGTTCCTCTAGCATCTTAGTGTCGCTTGTGATCAAACATTTTTCCAAACTTATGTTCACACACATTACTTATAAACATCAAGAACCATTGCCCATTATATAATAAACACACCAAACAAAATGCCAAATTCTTGGGCTATGTAAAGGCAATAATTAAATATTAAAAATGAATTAATTTGACTAGAGGTAGGCAGTTATGCTGCCATCTTGTACTAAATTTAATGACCAATTCCAAATTAAATTTTTAAAATGTCTAAATTAAAAATTAATTAATTATTAACACCTCAATGACAGACTTATGAAATAGAATATCAGATTTAATTAACAACTCTAATGAGAGACTAGCTAATCAAATGACTTCTATAAAAACTGATTTACACTCAATACGTGAATTTATTCGAGAACTTAAGAATCAATTTCATAAGGCAGAAGAAAAATATACAAAACATAGAATTACAAATTATGGAATTAAAAATGAAAAATGAACTTGTGCGCTTCAAAATGGATTCTCTAATTAATAATTTTAATCAAAATAATGTAACTATATATAAATATCCTAGTTCGAAAAATATTTTCAGACAAAATATATGGAATTTTATGAAACACACACTGAATCTAGACACTGTACTTTTAGAAGATATCTTAGACATAACTCAACTAATACAAAAAAACTATTATAAAATTATCGCTAAGGAATAATCATATTCGTAATCTTTTTTCCAGTTCTTTCATTAAACGAAAACAAGTAAAATTACTTGGTGAATGGCAAAATATGCAAATTTCAGCTGATCTCGCAAAGTTCTTGAATAAGACAAAATAATCTTCTTCCCTTCTATATTGAAATGAAAAAGCAAAATCATCAGGTAAACTTTGTAACGATATTTTGATATTAGAACAAGACAAGATAACATACTGCTTAAAAACAAAGCAATTACTGAACGAGGAAATTTTTTTTATCAATCCCGTCAATACAGAATTTAACAATTTAAGGTCTAATAAATTGCAAAGAATCATGCCTACAATAAATACCGTGAATAATCAAATGTTAGCAGTGATAAACTGGAATTTCCAGGGATTAAAGAATAAAATTTCATCAAGTGACCCATTTCAGCTTAAACTTGAAGCAGATATCATTGGAATAACA